CCCCCCCCCCCCCCCCCCCCCCCCCCCCCCCCCCCCCCCCCCCCGGCAGGCTTTCCATAGCCTGAAGAAGAGCATGCCCCCTCTTCCTATTACAAATACCGGAAGGGAAACTGAGGGAAGCCGTCTTTGCCCCGTGCTAGGCATAGTCCATGGTCCCATTCAAGTCTAGGAACAGTTCTGTAGGGTGAATTTTATTTTTCAAAGGAGGCCACTGAGGCTCACCAGAGTCGAGACCCAGGCCCCTCGTGGGTCCCTTTCAAACATCCGTAGCTCATCGTGCTGTTCCTTTGCTTAAAATCTGCAGTTTCTCCTTAATCTCCTGAGGATCTAGGGTTAAAATTCAGTCTTAGACACAAGGCCTTCTCGAGGTAGCCCCACCCCCACTCCCAGTCACCTCTCAAGCCACACTGTGTCCCCGCAGCTATGGCAGGAGGCTGAGCTCTTCCTGCCTTTGGGCCTTGCTGGGCACAAGTTTCTTCCCCTGTAGGAAATGCCATTCCCCCTCCCGCCCCTGACCCCTCTGTCCAGCCAGCCCTTGCTACTTCTGCAGAGTCCATGCAGATGATGTCTCCTCCTCCAGGAAGCTTTCCCTGACATACACAGAGGACATCATGGTCAAATGCCTCTCCTCAGAGCTCTTAGACCTTTTTTAACATGAAAATTCACTGAGCCCAAAGTAGTGCAAGGAACTACACCTGACCCTCGAACAGCACGGGGTTTAGGGGCACAGTCAGAAATCTACATGTAACTTGACTCCCCCCAAATGTAACTACTAACAGCCTACTGTTGACTGGAATCCTTCCCAATAACATAAACAGTCAATTAATACATATTTTATATATGTATTATATACTGTATTCTTAAAATGAAATAAGCCAGAGGAAAGAAAAGGCTTTGAGAAAATAATCAGAGGGGCGCCTGGGCGCCTCAGGAGGTTAAATGACTGACTCCTGATTTCAGCTCGGGTCATGATCTCGTGGTTCAAGGGTTTGAGCCTCACATCAGGCTCTGCACTGATGGCGTGGAACCTGCTTGGGATTCTCTCTCTCCCCCTCTCTCTCTGCCCCTACCCTGTTTGCTCTCTCTCAAAATAAATAAGTAAGCTTAAAAAAAAATCATCAGGAAGAGAAAATACCTCTTCAGTACTGTAAGTGTATTTATTGAAAAAAGTCTGCATAGAAGTGGACTCACATACTTCAAACCTGTGTTGTTCAAAGGTCAAGTGTGCATTGTTCCTTTCTGGACTGGGAGGTTTGGGGCACACCCATTTTAGAGAAAGCATCTAGTTGTTGTTTTATAGGATTACTGCTCTAGGGAGGGGGAAGAGGCTGGTTTCAAGTGCAAATGGACTGGCAGGTGATCAGATGCTGACCTGCTCTAGGCCTTTTCCTGAGCTCAGAGCCCTGATTCTCCCATGTGCTGCAGACAGGACAGCCAGAGGTCATACTGCTCTTTGCAGAACCCCGTAAACATATCACCACTCTAAATTCCGGCACCCAAAATACAGGTCTGGCATAAAATTTAAATCTTCAGTATATCTACAAACTTTGGTAACTTCAAGTAACACATAATATGTTAAGAAATTACAACTCGATTACTAATTAATTTTTTTCTTAATTATAACTTTTACTTATTCATTTGTTTTATCACCTTGAGCAATGGCACACAATAGCATTGTGCTTGTCAGGTCCTTGCTCTGTTCTAAGCATGATCCGTGTGTTCTCTAGTTCCCACAGCATTCCTGTAAACGATGGGGTATCATTAGCCTCGCTTTATAATGGAGGCAACTGAGGCTCAGAGAGGTTTAGAGACTGCTGCCCAGGCTCTTGCATTTGGTAGACAGTACAATGATTTGAAACCAGCAGTCAAACTTTGCGGCCTGAGCTACACCCTATATCTTTAAGTTTATTTATTTATTTTGAAAGAGGGAGAAAGTGGGGGAGGGACACAGAGAGACAGAGACAGAGAATCCCAGGCAGGCTCCACACTGTCAGTGCAGAGCCCGACGTGAGGCTCAAACTCACGAACCATGAGATCATGACCTGAGCCGAAGTTAGATGCTTCACTGACTGAGCCACCCAGGCACCCCTGGCCTAACTATTTTTAAGAGAAGTCTTCTTTTTGTTTAACTTTTTTTAAAGTTTATTTATTTTGAGAGACACAGAGCGCGAGTGGTCGAGGCACAGAGAGAGACAGAGACAGAGAATCCCAAGCAGGCTCCACCCATCAGCTCAGAGTCCGATGTGGGGCTTGAACCCATGAAACCGTGAGATCATAACCTGAGCCAAAACCAGGAATCAGGCACTTAACCGACCGAGCCACCTAGGCACCCTTAAGAGAAGTCTGAAGTAAATTCAATATGAAGAAAATTTTATCAATTTATTTTTTTCTTTTGATTAGAGAAATAGCCACTCATACCGGAATGTAGCAGCATGGTTTGCACCCCACTGGTTTGGGCTGTGGAACGTTTCAGGTTAGGAGGGGCTTATGAATACTATTATTTCTGACATTTTGATATTTTAGAATGTAAGAGGACGGCAACCAACTCAATTCATTTTAACGAGTATTCATTGCTCTTTCCTCTTCCTTAAATATGCTTTAGCAACTTTTTCATGTGGCTAACTCCTACCTGATCCTGAAAGGCCAGCTCAGGCATCACTACCTCCAGAAAGTCTCCCCAGACTGCACTAGTGACTGCCTATTTTGTGTTCTGTGCTTTTCCAAGTTTGCTCCATTGAATATGACCTACTCTAGTGATGGAATTATCTGTCTCCCTCTCTGTACTATAAGTCTCACAAATTCAAGGATCTTGTCTCATTCAGCATTGAACCTTTTGTACCTGCTCCTGTGGCTGGCACGTAGTAAGGATTCAGTGAATTTTTGGTGAAGGAATTACTGATCAGCTACTGTGTGTTTAGCATTCTGCTTCAGTCAATTGCTTATACAAAAAATTGATTTCATTTTAGGACTTGGCCTCTCTATACCCATAAAGTTGGAAATAAATCCTCTTAAAAGCTCATACTCATTTCCAAATGTTTCTGTTTTTATTTGAATTAAAATAATACATATTCATCCTTTAAAAATTAAGTAAAGGGGCGCCTGGGTGGCTCAGTCGGTTAAGCGTCCGACTTCAGCCAGGTCACGATCTCGCGGTCCGTGAGTTCGAGCCCCGCGTCGGGCTCTGGGCTGATGGCTCGGAGCCTGGAGCCTGTTTCCGATTCTGTGTCTCCCTCTCTCTCTGCCCCTCCCCCATTCATGCTCTGTCTCTCTCTGTCCCAAAAATAAATAAACGTTGAAAAAAAAATTTTTTTTTAATTAAGTAAAGAAGGGGTGCCTGGGTGGCTCAGTCGGTTAAGTGTCCAACTCTTGGTTTCGGCTTAGGTCATGATCTCACAGTTTCATGAATTTGAGCCCCGTGTCCGGCTCTGCACTGACAGTGTGGAGCCCCACTTGGAATTCTCTGTCTCCCTCTCTGTCCACCTTTCCCCCACTCGCGCTGTCTCCGTCTCTCTCAAAATAAATAAACTTAAAAAAAAAAAAAGGTGGTTATGAGGATTCAATTGGTTAACATACGTAAAGCACTGAGAACAGTGCCTGATGCAAGGTAATATATAAGTGCCTATTCAATTAACTGATTATGGAAAGCATAACGCAAATGCTAATTAACTAATAACTAGTTCTACAAAGCTTGTTACAAAAAATTGCACCCCTCTGGACCTCCTTTGCATTCTCCAGCAACACATTTCCACTTTCTTAACTGATTGTTTTGGTATTTGTTATCCTTCTAATGTCTAAATACCACGGTGCTCTTTGATTTTTCAGTGTTAGGCATTGTCTGTTGAGTTCCTACCTGGAGTGGTTAAGGACTGGGCTGTCTCTCATATGCACACACTTTCTGTCTCTCATCCTCCCGGTGTGTTTCTGTTGTGATTCGGTTTGGACCACTAATCAGCGTTATACCATCAACACAACTGCCGTGAGCCATGGAGGGTACTATGGTATTTTTGTTTTCTTGTAAAACTTTTTGCTATCCCTGGAACTAAGCCTTTCTCTCTTTTTAATCTGCCTGTTTTCTTGCCTTTTTTTTTTTTTTCATTATGTACTTATCACAGTTTATCTCCAAATTTCTCCTTGGCCACCTAAATCTCCCCCCAGTACATTCAGACACTTCATAGTCTATCAATTTCACCTTCATTTCCCAGCCTCCTGACCAGTTTCACTCTGGGTGGTTTCACTCTAGGCTGTTGATGTAATCCTGGGGACTTAACTTCTGCCTTCCCTTCAGCATACTGGTTTTTCAATGTTTGTTTTTAATCTGTGTCTTTGTGATTCATCCACAGGAAGGACACCAAGGAGTCAAAACCAACTCAGAAAAAGGAAGTCAGTTTCCATAACCCCTCACCTTCTAACACACCTGGATGAATCCTTATCCAAGAATTGGAAGAACTTTTGGCTGAAGCCTGCCCATGTTGTTGGGTTTCATCTAAAACAGAAACAACAACAACAAAATAATACTGCAACACATTTAATCATTCCCAGTCCATGGGACAAAGAATATTAAAGTTCACTTCTCTCTGGACCAAAGTCAGGATTTAAACTGAAGTCACCTCATTCATTCATGCCTTTACCAACTAAATCTTCCACTCAGTTAGTAGCAGTGATACTATGGAATACATAATATTATTATATAACACAGTAATAGTAATCATAGGAGAATCATTTTTTGAGCACTTAATGACATGCCGAGTACTCTGTTAAGTCCTGCTTTTTTTTTTAACTTTTTTTTTTTTTTAATTGAGAGATAGAGAGAGACAGAGCATGAGCATGGGAGGGGCAGAGAGAGGGGGAGACACAGAATCTGAAGCAGGCTCCAGTCTCCGAGCTGTCAGCACAGAGCCTGACACAGGGCTCGAACTCACAAACCGTGAGATCATGACCTGAGCCTAACTCGGATAGATGCTTAACCAACTGAGTCACCCAGGTGCCCCCCACCCTTTCTTTAACTTTTTTTTTTTTTTTTAATTCTGTTAAGTCCTACTTAGACATTATCTTGGTTTACCCTCCTGGTGGCTCCCCCCAGGGTGAGTATTGTTACCTCCATTTCTCCTGGGAGGACGCTGGGGCTTGGAGAGGTTGAGCAAATATTCCAGGTGTCTGTTCTCTACCATGCCTGCAGAGATGCATAAAGATGCAGTCCTTGACCTTAAGGGACACACAATCTGGGAGAGGGGGAAGGATGTATAAACCAACTAATACATTAATGCTTTGCTAGAAATCTGTGCGGAATAAACAAAAAACCAAATCGAGAAAGACTTCACCGATGTTGGGGTTCTTGAGCAAATGGCTAAGAAAGAATTCTTGAGACATCCTTGGTGCAAAAAGGTGATTTTAATAAAGCATGCCAGGACCCGTGGGCAGAAAGAGCTGCCCTGGGGTTGTGAGGAGTGGCTGATTATATACTTTTAAGTTTGTGGAGGGAGGGGTAAAGATAAAGTAAAGTTTAAGGAACTTGGAAGCAAGGCTTTCGTGACCTTGAGGGGCTAGCTACTGGTAAGGTAAGGCTACTTTTAGTGTTTAATAAAACATCAAGGAAGTAAGGCAACCATGAGCTGCTTGGGTAAGGTCACATTTTGCATGTTTCAGGTGTCTATCAGTGGGCTACAAGCTGTGAGATTTAATTTAAGCTACATTTCTCTTGCCTTTGTTCCCCTCACCAACTGAGACGCAGAGGGACAGGGGCCAGTGTGGGGAAGGACCTGTGGCTGGGCTGAGGGGCTTGGCTTTTATCACTTGGGCCTCAGGGCACAAGGGAGTGACCTGATCTGTTAGAGAGGTCTGCCTGGCAATGCCTAAAGGAAAGAAATCAAGCAGATGGCTATTTGCCTAAACCAAGAAGAAAGTAAGTGCATTCTTGGGACCTAAGGTGTCTCCCACAGATATGCATATTCACTTGAACCCTGAGTGTAATCCTAGGTGACCCCCTTGGAGAATATCCCAGGTGAAGAGATGGAAGAAGGAGTTCGAGCTTTGGCCCCAGAAAATGCAGGCCCTTGAGTCCTGCTTCATAATAGATATAGGACTTTAGACCTAGTAGCTGTGGGGCTTGACCTTTCCTGAACTTGTTTTCTTTCTCTTTCTTTCTTTCTTTTTCTTTCTTTCTTTTCTTTTCTTTTCTTTTCTTTTTTCTTTTTTTTTAATTAATTTATTTATTATTTTTTTAAATTTACATCCAAATTAGTTAGCATCTAGTGCAACAATGATTTCAGGAGCAGATTCCTTAGTGCCCTTCCCCATGGAGCCCCTCCCCCCTCCCACGACCCCTCCAGGAACCCTCAGTTTGTTCTCCATATTTATGAGTCTCTTCTGTTTGGTCCCCCTCCCTGTTTTTATATTATTTTTGTTTCCCTTCCCTTATGTTCATTTGTTTTGTCTCTTAAAGTCCTCATACGAGTGCAGTCATACGATTTTTTGCCTTTCTCTGACTGACTAATTTCACTTGGCAGAATACCCTCCAGTTCCGTCCAGGCACTGTCACAGTGCTTTACACAAGGGAAAAGACGGAAACCTATAGAATTTTCAGAAAAGGATCCAAAGGCATCAGTCGGTTGCCACACGTAGACATTTTCTTATCTCAGTTGAAACAGACAATATACGGCACTGATGAGATAATTGAATATTTGAATGCTGCCTATATATTTGATATTAAAAGTGCTTATTTTTTAGGTGTGCTAATGGTATTATGGTTCTGTTTGAAAAGAGTCCTTATCTTTTAGAGATACATAGTGAAATATTTCAGATGAAATTATATGATGTATGAAATTTGCTTCAAGATAATAGAGGGATTGTGGCACCTGGTTGGCTCAGTCGGCTAAACGCCCAACTTCCGCTCGCTCAGGTCATGATCTCGTAGTTCATGAATTTGAGCCTCTTACTGGGCTCTCTGGTGTCAGCATGGGGCCCGCTTGGGATCCTGTCCCCTTCCTTCTCTGCCCCTCTCCTTCTCTCTCTCTCAAAAATAAATAGAGATTACAAAAAATAATAATATGAGAGGGAGTAAGTAGATAGAGTTATAAGTGAAATAAGATTGGCCGTGTGACTTAAGAAATCTATGGGCGTCTGGGTGGCCCAGTCAGTTGAGTGTCCGACTTTGGCTCAGGTCATGATCCTGTGGTTCATGGGTTCAACCCCAGCCTCGGACTCTGTGCTGACAGCTCAGAGCCTGGAGCCTGATTTGGATTCTGTGTCTCCCTCTCCCTCTCCCTCCCCTGCTCTCTCTCTCTCTCTCAAAAATAAATAAACATTAAAAAAAAAAAAAAAAAAAAGATTGGCCGTGTGTTAAAACTTGTTGAATCTGGGTGATGGAAATGTATTATTTTACCTTTGTATATATTAAAAATTATCCATAATAAAACAATTAAAGGTATTTGCTATGAACTAAATAATTTGAGATTTTATTTTATTTATTTTATTTTATTTTATTTTATTTTATTTTATTTTTTTAACGTTTATTTATTTTTGAGACAGAGAGAGACAGAGCATGAACAGGGGAGGGGCAGAGAGAGGGAGACACAGAACCCGAAGCAGGCTCCAGGCTCCGAGCCATCAGCCCAGAGCCCGACGCGGGGCTCGAACTCACTGACCGCGAGATCGTGACCTGAGCTGAAGTCAGACACTTAACCGACTGAGCCACCCAGGTGCCCCTGAGATTTTATTTTTAAGTAATCTCTACACCTAACGTGGGGCTCCAACTCACAACCCCCTGATCAAGAGTCTCACACTCTACCAACTGAACCAGCCAGGTGTCCCTGAACTAAACACTTTTAAGCATGTTTTCACACATTATTTTATTGCCTTCTCACTATAGCCCTGTGCATGAGGCACAACTTTCCCCATTTTCAAGAGGCCTTTCTTGGATGAAGTCGCCCCCGGCTTTGACTTATACAGTCTTCTCCTAGGTACTCATTCTCCTTGCCCTCTCTCTCTTGCCCCCTTCAATCCATTCTTCACACGGCAGCCCAAATACTTCAAGTGTATCGATTTAATTCTCACAACAACTCAGTACTATTATCATTATTGGTTTTCAGATGAGAAAATTGAGGCACAGACGTTAATGTCCCCAAGACTACACAGCTAGTAAATGGCTGAGCTGTACTATGTTAAGCCTGGCTCAGTTGCCACTCCTATGTGTGCTTAAACCAGGCTCCTATAAATGAAAAAAAAAAAAAAAATCACATGTGAATATACAGGGTCTGCCATATACTGGTTTAGTGGATTGGTTAAGAACATGGACACGGGAGCCAGACTGTGAGCCTTGAGCAAGTTATTGAACCTTGTGATGCCTCAGTGTCCTCATTTGTAAATAGGGGTAATAATAGTCCCTACCTCATGGTATCTTTGTGACGAGTGGTTGCATTAATCTGTGGAAAGGAGTAAGTGCTATGAGTGTGGGCTGTCATCAAATGTTACCTTGAGCTTCTCTCCTTTGCTTCTGAGAGCTGCTTTCTCCCTAGCACCTTCCACTCCAGCAAAACCACTTGCAATTCCCTAAAAGAGCCTCTGAGTTGCCTCTGCCTTTCCCACCCCTCCCGGCCAGCAAACCCTCACCCATCCTCCCAGCCCCAAAGTTCGGTCACTACCTCTGTGAGGATCCCGCAGGGAGAGGTTTCCTTGTTACCCGACTGCACGTCTGATCTCTTACCTTGCCCTGTGTGTGATTACCTGTTTCGGTATCTGTCTCCCCCTACTAGACTCAGGGCCCCTAAAGGGCAGAGACCTGTCCAGACCTGTCTTCATCTCCTTCTCCAGCAGAGAGCTGGGATCATGCAGTGTTTAATAAATGTTGGTTGAATAAACTGTCAGGAGCATGCCTCTCTGGGGAGCTGTGTGCTGAAGTTGGAAGGTGTTCAAATGTGGAAATAAATCTAAATAAATGAGAAAGCCCCCAAATGACTGGGGGTGTGTGTGTGTTTCACTGTAATTGCCTAGAAACTTACCAATCTAGACCCCCATTAGGGTTTGTATCTCGTTTGTTCTTTAAACCCTGGTACTCGGGGCGCCTGGGTGGCTCAGTCGGTTGAGCGTCCGACTTCGGCTCAGGTCACGATCTCACGGTCCGTGAGTTCGAGCCCCGCGTCGGGCTCTGGGCTGACTGCTCGGAGCCTGGAGCCTGTTTCAGATTCTTAGTCTCCCTCTCTCTCTGCCCCTCCCCCATTCATGCTCTGTCTCTCTCTGTCTCAAAAATAAATAAACATTAAAAAAAATTTAAAAAATAAAAAATAAAAAAATAAACCCTGGTACTCAACACCTCCCAGTGTCTGACAAGCAGTAGGGATTCAGTAAACATCTTTTGGATGAACTATGTTTAAGGGGAGACGCGCCCAGTGAAGTTCTTTTTGTGTGCGTGTGATGGTCTTTCATTCTTTAGTTCTCTACCAAAGCACTTCTCATATTTGAGCTCTTGAAACTCCCAGAACACACATCCGCAGGCACCAGTTCGAGGAAACC